CGCGTATGAAACTCATAGAGTGGCTAAAAATGCTGAATTGTATTTGAAATAAGTAGTTTATGATTCTAAGGCCGTGATTTAGTTGAAAGGAAGGAGCCATAGCAAGAGATTCTCGCCCCTGGTAGATGTCTTCATCGAGGCTAACTATAGCCAACAATGTTTGCCTTTTTCACATATTATCAATCAAAAGAAACACATTTAATGGTAAACTTATATTTTTTTTTACTGTTCACGGACGGTAAACTGTCTGTCATCAGTGTAAATAAACAGTGACTATTCATTCTATGCATTTTTCCCAATCTAGGTTTACCAAATTTCTTATATCAAGCCAAAATGTAGTTGATTATATATACGTACATAGAATATCAGTATATAGCGAAGATAAATCAAAAGTAACGTAATTAAGACTTTGCAGAAGATATGATATATTAAGTAAGTTGGTCGCAATTACTTCTATCAGAGCAGTTTTTAATTCAGTGTTAAAAAACCAAAACTAAAGAAATTCCAAAAGGTCGATCAGAACAAAGTTTTACATTATCATTAGCCAATGAGAACTGAAAGTGAAAAGAAGCGAGCTGCTTGAAGCGCGAGAAAAGACTTTTACGATTGTTTTAATTTTGAATCTGATCGAGTAAGAAAGTTGCGCTATTTTTCTGAGCCAATCACATAACGAAAGTAAAGCAAAGCCAAAAAAATTTCGGATTTTTCTTTAGATTCAATTGGAAATTGCTTTACTTCTGTCTAAGTTTAATTGAATTAACTCAAGTGCCTGAGCGAATATTGGTTTCAAGGGTATGGTCAGGTGTTCTTCAGAAATCGAGATATTTCGCAGACGCATCAATAGTAGTTCAGATTGATTTTAAATTACTGTAAGGACACTGTTTAATATTGAGTATCAAAAGTAATCCAGGATATTTTCGGTATGGCCTTACCTTGTTCTCTGATTAGTCCAGAAACCTCGTACAATCCTTTCCGATGCAAAACTGAAAAAAATTTTGCCCTGGACACACTGAAGCGATTTCCCGCGCTTATGGCAGTTTTCACATTTTTAAATCGAACACCCATTGATTCTCAAAGAAATTTATCTTTGATTTGATTGGCCATAGATTTTACGGTGGTTCTGGTTTTACAACACTCAATTGTTAGCTCCGCTGTGTATTGTAGCTTCACGTAGACAGTAGGACGATCCAAGCAACAATATGGAAACCGAAAGTCATCCGAACAGAAACCGAACGACCACCCGAACATCTGGGTGATGGTGACTATCATGATCATAACATATAAAACAGGTGAAATAATTTCACCTGATTTACTTGTTACAAGTGATGTACGACTGAATGAATGTATTAGCGAAGTGTAATTTGAGACAGTCATTAGTTAAGCAATTCGTCAGAGAAATATTGTTCTGTAAAAATCAATCCTGTAAATAAATTCAATCCAAATAGCCTATTCTATCGGGTTTTTTTTCTCCTTAACTTTTTTTTTAAATCTCAATTAAATGACATTATTGCACCATAACTTTCTACCTGTCCTGTCTGATTTTCTACTAAGTGTCTGATTGACTGATCGACTGGCATTCCATCAAGTGACTTATCAGATAAGATACCTGCTACGATCAGCAATGTTGAAAACATTCTGCGTGTGGAGAGATTGTCAACTTTCAGCTTGACCTATAAAGACTGGTCACCTCTTATAAAGATTTCAATCGAAGGTAATGACCATCTCTACAGACATTTATATATGTTTGAAATATTGGTTTGCTTTATTACATTTAGTTGACGACTAATATAGCCTTAATTGATTCGTCGATAGGAAGAAACAAACTCAGTTGGCAGCAAAGGTCTATGGCTCATGTTTCCTCGCTCTTTGCAATAAAACCGGTATCAAAACTGTCAAATTTGGAAGATATTCAAGCACCATTTTTTCTCAATCCTTCACTAAAGAATTGATCGCGTCTCATATATCTGAAAGTGTTTCTTGATTTCAAATTAAGTTTTCGAAACTTGTTTAACAGGTAGCTGAACCACCCTTCATTTCCTTGGTCAAGAGATCTTCTCGTATCATATCGAAATATCAGACCTCGTCAGTATATTATTTCTAATTTTCTTGATAATATTGTTGCCGTCATGAATCACAACAACATGACAGTGTCGGCTCTTTAGGAAGCCTTGACTCTTTTGCTAAATAACGTCTAATTGTTCCTCTGGATTTGAAGTTTTTCTTCAGTGTCTTCTATCTATAAGTCAGTAAACCTATGGAAAAAGAACACGAGAAAAACTTGTCACATAATGGCCAATCCTGACCCTAAAAGATACTAGAATGATCACGCGACTTGTTTCGCTGTCAACCTCCTAACGTTTATAAACTTTAGTAGCTTGCATTTTATCTTTTCTTATTGTTTCGTTTGCGCTTTTCAAGCAGAAGGATACCTAGGTTAGGTTATTAAAAGAATAGTCTCCAATGGTCTGTTTTCCCGCTTCGTCTGTTTGGGTACTCTAGATCTGATGTTTAAAAGTCATATAATGGCGAATAGCGAGGGGATATGTTTTTCCAATGAAGAAAGCTTTAACAAAGAGCAGAAATTGTATTCATAGAAAGAGAGTGACTATGACGACATCTGTTCCGTCTAAAATTGAAGAAAACTTCGTCGAAACCTTCATATTCCAGCCTTCACCATGATTTAAGCATATACTCTCTACGGAACACTTGATTCGTCAAAAAAACTAACAAACTGACAAATTAAAACAAATAAATTAAAGAACACTCACTTTAGGCTCGGCATTCATGTCTCCTTCTTCGCTCTCATCCTCTTTTGATTTTGTTCCACCAGTCTCTCGATATCTGATGTCAGACCGTAATGAAGTAAAGACAGGTTAGCATTCTTCGCCTGGGGAGGGGAGGGAGTTGGGAGGGGTTGTTGGAGAATTTTAAGAGGATTACACGGTTTTCAGAGGGAACAGCTGGGGATTTAATCGTCGCTTACGGTGTAGAAAGAGGGACTAGAAAATTGACTGAAACAAGGGGGAACATAAGAATATTAAAGAGCCTAAAATGGGATCGGATAAATTGTATTGTGGGTATTTAAAATCCTTCAACCTACCCCACCCGTAGTGATAAATAATGACCGGTCCCTAAAAAATATTGGCGCACAGTTGTATAGTTAACAAGGAACTTTACATCTTGTGGGGGAGACATCAGAGTATTTGACATGAATTTACATCCTCATTTCTCCTTGCCCCTTAATACCAGCATGGACATATATTTCCTGTTGCTTCAAAGTTTATTTCTAACAAACTTTTAAGAATTGCAAAGGTGAAGCGAAACTCTATTAGGTGACTTCTAAAGTACAAAAAAAAAGAAAAGAATATTACATATTAGCCGAAATTACCTTCTGACAAAAATAAAGACGGCCCAAACTGTACCAGAAACGGCGGCTCCAAACGCTACAACTACCACGACAATGTATGCTGTAACGTAAGCTGTAGATCAAAACAAAGTTGATAGGAATCAGTGAGGACTCAGTATGTAACAGAAAGGATATAATTTAGTGGTGCATATAGCATTTTTCTACCCCCAAATATCAAAGACTCAATTCTCCTTTCTGGTCATAGTTCATTTGCCTAATGTTGCTAACGAGAGTTTGGTGTCAAATGAAACAATATTCTTTAGATGAAAGTTTTTTCTCAATGTCATTTGTTTGCTGCACAGTATGTCAACGTTGAAGCCTTCACAACTCACATCAGAATGCATATTCTCTATACTCTAATCTATTCATTTCCTAGAAAATCGATACAGGAGAATTTATTCATTTCCTTAACTCTTATAACCTGAATATTTGATTTAGTACTGATATTGAAAGGAGAAATTAGATGCTAGTCACTTCTTGAACGTACAAATTGTATTTTTATTTATTTTTATTTATTTTCATTTTTCTTTCCTAATAATCACGACAAATGAAACTCTTACCTTTTCTATTTATATCGTTTCTGACCATAAGAGATATCTTGACGTCATTTGTTGAGATACCAGTTGTTATCTTGCACAATTCTTCGCTGTAGCACTTGACGCCATAACATTTGGCATTATCCATATATGCCAGTTGACAACGTTTACTGGCGCAACATAACGACATACATTCTTCCATGTCTTTGACTGCACCGAGAAACGTGAAATTCCCAGCGTGCAGCTGACCTTCCAGGGTAGCATTTTGTACCACGTCGCTGTGCAGAAGCTGGGCTTTTCTACATACGGGGTTTTGATTTATGGCGAGAGGAGGACCAGAACGTGTAGCTTACATGAAAAGGAAATGAACCAGTTTTACTTATCGAATTGACAATTATCGTCTTTTATGTTAAACACTTTATATAATCTCATTCACTTACTTCTATAAAGACCAAAGAATGAGTCATTTCCTGTTGATGAGAGCAAAAGACAAATCTTAAGTTTCAAGGTCATTAAACTTTCACACCAACACATTTCACCTAAGTACAACTTCAGTAACATAAATTTCCGAGGCCTAACGTATGCAGAGATATATGCCCCGAAATGGCGACCTGCAGCGAAAATTTATCGGACTTGTGTGCAATTAATTGCACTGCTGTTAAATGTATCAGACTTTAAACCTGTCAGACCAACACTGGAAAATCAGTAAATAATGTTACATTTGCTTGAATGAAAGTGTTTAAAGATATATTCGTCGAATTCCCGCGATTTGGGACGAAAACCATCACCCTCCATATTTAGCGGTGGGGGTAAAAACCATTTTATAAGAACATTACGATCGCCATATAGATTATAAGGTTAAAAATCTAAGTACGTCTCCATGGCTTACCTCTTGCTGGTGTCGTTACTAAGAAGGCTAGCGCTAAAACTATGATGGTCACGAAAAATGAAAGATTGTCCATATTTTCCTATTTGGTTTGTCTGTGTTACGCCGATCCAATCCAAACGATAATCTACGATCACAAAATCTTGACGAAGTATAACACCACAATGGTTTAGACTTCACTGTCTCATTCGAGAGATCGCCATCTTCTTCCTAACTTCTATGTATTCCCAACAGTTGCCAAGTCACTTTCGTCAATTTACTCTCCCAAGAAAGAACCAAGCTCTTGATAGTTTCAGAGGTATAATAATCTTTTCCAATTTTCCTCACAAGTTTTCCCCCTTTTCTCTTGGTAAACAATACATTAAAATTGATTAGAAGCCAAACAATACCAATGACGTAGGTTAAATGGATGAACCACCAAATTCCATTTTGATAATACAATCCATTCGTTGTCAACCACCCTAGAAAAACGAGCTACAAAGTTCAATCTAGAACTACATCACTCTCAAAGGAGACTCTTCACCAAAGTCTTGAGTTGTCGTCAAGTTTAAGCGTGAGAGTCTAGTCTAGTTCTTTTAATTTGAATGTATGAGAATTTGCATGAAAGCAATCGTACCGTGACGTTAAACCAGTCTTAAAAACAACGGGTGACCTGCCTAAAGTCAACAATCGAAGGCAATAGCCCGAACATTAGACGATTGTCCGACGGTTTGGTTGAAATTGCCCTCGAGAAATCTTCGTCTCCGATGCAAACCGATACGAAAGGGTTTCTTTTTTGAGTGGCTTGCCTAGATCGGAAAATACCATTGTACACCGAACATCGATTGCTGGCGGGACAAAAAAAACCTTAGAGTCTATGCGAAATTGATCTTTTTGCATGTAAAAAATCTTTGCTGCTCGCTTGTTCGGCTGATTTTTATAGTTGTTTTAAGTCGGCTGAGCAAGTATTCCAATTTGTGAAAACTGTCTTTTTTTCTTCTTTCTTTCCTTTTCCATGTCCTCACAAAGGATTTTTGTTAAGATCCGGCTGAAGGGCAAAAGTTTTCGGTCAACAGCGAGTTTGTCGCCCACAATATGGGGGTGGCTATGCGCTCAAACATTCTTTCGTGAAGCAGAAATTTAGTGAAAAGGTTTGATCTGTAGCTCAAAAATGGTAAACTATCTAAATGCAATGTCGATATAGGCGGCTAAACAGTTAAATATGATGTTGGGCAAAAATATTTGATCATTTAGCTAGGGCTTCATTAGTCGAACTCACATAGCTGCAGGAATTAATGCGAGTGCTGAGCGACCTAAAGAGCCACAAGGACGAGAAAAACAGTAGAGTCATTCTTACAGTATGAGCATAGTAATGTATTAGTTCAGGGGCCAGCTGCTTACAGCCTTGCAGGCGTCAAAAACTGTCGCAACTTGTGTAATTTCAAGTGCATTTGTAATATGTAGAGAGCTTTCGATATTTGATTTTATCGGAAGTTTAATTTGATGGTAACATTGGAAGTGCTAGCTTTCTTTGTTTGTTGCTCAGAACAACCCTGGGGCACAGGAAAATTAACTTTGCATTACATCAGGATTATAACTTCCATTAATTAATTTTCCTTGAGGTCGTAAATTCAACACACTTTTACATTTATTTTCTCTTTTTTTTTTTCAAGAAAAAAATTACCCGCAAGCCATTGAATAAAATATTGACGAATCTGTGGCAGCTTCACACGCTTTGCACGGACAAATCAAACCAATGATTACTCTGCCAACGTATGTAATTCCTTAGTGTCGTGTAAGTACATGCACAAGACTGATGGCGTATTTTAAATTATTTCTTGCCACAATGTTTTTGTTGTTAACAGCTCCAAATGCAGCTTGGAGTGAAGATGGCAATATTGATGAAGACAATGTACCCGCGGTGAAGAGTAGAAAACGAGTTACTTCGCTTGGAAAAGACCAGGGAGAAATCGGTGCGGTGGAAGGTACGAACATGGAGATACAAGATACCAAGGGAAGCGATACGAGGAAAGATGAAAACGACTCTGGTAAAAAACAAGTCAATCCTAACATAGATGGCCTGATTCTTCTAGCCTGCCTTGTAGCCTTGATTGCATTTATTGTATTTCTGCGATTCGTGTGCTGTTCAATTGAGCAGTGTGAAGAAAAATCCAAGAAGTCCACTGCTACGAAAGAAAAAGTGGAGCACACAGAAAAAGAAATAATTTTACGGGGAATGAAATACAAGGCCTTGGTTTGAATGCCAGCGGTTCTCCCAACTGAGAGGGATTCCTAACACTCAGGAGAGAGAAGAATTTTTTAAATAGAACATCAAATTCTCTATGGAGGAATGAAATTTATGCCCTTGGTTTGAATTGTAGGAATTGATTTGTAACATTTAAACGAGAAAAGGTATCTATTCAATCAGGAAATGACAAACTATTTTAATAAAACCTATTGATTAAGCACTGACAGTTTGTCATGATTAAATCCGATATGGAATCTTAAGTACTTTTAAGTAAAGTACTTTTATAAGGTTCATTGGCTTTGTACAACGGTCTGTAATGAGGCCATGAGCTCTGTATCGCTAACATACTGATACCAATGGGGGTCTGTAGAATCTTCATCCACCTTGTCATTTTTATGGACTCAAAAAACTTTTGTTTTTTAGCAACTAATATTTTTTAATTAAGCAATAGTATGACAAACCGCAATTTTGCTCCTGCTTGCCAGGGGGGTTGTACAGCACATCGATTGTATTTCGAAAAATTTCAGTTGTCACAACAATAAAGAATGCGGGATCAACAGTTTTAACTTGATGATTTCTAAAGTTTGATACCTATGTCGTCCCAAGCATCCTGTTTTCTCAAACCAAATTTAAAATACACCCGAGTTCAAGGTTGTCACTAGAGCGATGGCGATGCGAAAGTTGAAATTAAACATGATTTATTGATCATAAATATTTGAAGTTGTAAAACTCACATTCGTAAAAAAACTTGTAGGATTTAAGACGAACAATGTCGATGGATCAATCTCAATAAATTGGGCATCATTTTTCAGCCGCTAGGGTCTCGACCGATCACTTGTAAACCTCTCTCATTTTTTCCCTCATTTTTTTTACAATTTGCATTAAAAGACTGACAAAGGAGGCTTAAATTGTTTAGTGTTGTGATTGGTTGATATAAGCTACGACTTGAAATGCGATTGGTTGATTTAAACTACAACTTTGAATGTTATTGGCTTACTAAACTGTTCGATGATAAACTGCCCGATAACAACTTGGCAAGTGAATTGGTGCCGGAAATGAGAATTTTTAAACCAATCACAATCAGGGAAATTGAAAATTTTATGATTGAAATAAATATATGTTGATATCATCGTCTCCTTTGTATGTCTTATTTTCAATCAAAAATTTGCACCATAACCTAACGTAATCCTGTTACTTCTGCACGAAATTATTTGAAAAAGTTCTCGAAAGCGTTCAATTACAATATAATATCAGAAATTTCCGTCCCCTCTAAGTACTGCCCATATATTTCTCTCGCAACTTACAGCCGCTGCTTTCGTTTTACGTACTTCTTTTGTACAATTTTGAAGTCCACTGTGTAATGAGTTCAAATTCTTTGTCACGCAATACTTTTCAGTTTGGAAATCTTGTGGCGACTTCTGTTTATCATGTCTGAATTCTGATAGTCGAGAGTCCGTGTTCCTTTCCGCTGTGCAAGTTTGGACGTGTTCGGCGCCTCCAATATTCAAGCCTTTCTTTGTACACAATCTCTCTAGGTTGATAGAGGGATTTGTTTCTTGACATGGTTCGTTTGTCACGCAGTCTCCGTTTTTCTTACTGGGGTATTTAGCATTATGGTTGTAGCTGGCCATTGCGGCTTTTTCTTCTTTTTTACTTTCAGTCGATGGAAAAATGCCCTCTTGCTCGTGTTCTTGGTCTCGTGCAGCTTCCACTCGCACATCAACCGACTCTTTTCTTTCTTTTGCTTCAGAAAAATGTCCTAAAGCGTCACTCCCAGGGGATTTTTTGGCCTCGTCCTCATCCGTCACGCTATCCATAGTGGTGCTTCGTTTTTGCAAGCTTTGGCCCTTTCGCCTCCTCTCCTTCTTTGGAACTCGCGCTGGAGCCTCCTCCTCTCGCAACTCCTCCACCTCTGTCTTCTCTCCCGTTTCTTTCTCAACCCGTCTTAACTTCCGAATCAATCGCTTCTCCACTTTATACAGTAACATCTTCTTCCACTTGATGGTTTCAGTTTTAATCCTCTCTCGAGTCTCAATGATTTTTGCACTGATCTCTGGTATAGTTTTTGTAAGCTTTGGTGAATCGGGACTGCGGTTTCGACGTTCCCCTGGCGACACGGGTGGCGGTGCTTTCTGTTTCTTCAGTTTGTCTATCTCTGAATTGTCAAGAACTGGTAGGTACGAGGGAGGACCACTTAGGTAAATCTCTGAATCAGCACTTATTCTTTCTATCCGGCTATTGCATCCATAAGAATGTCCTGAGTGGTTACCGTAGCCTGCAGCGACAGTAGGCTTTGCGATGAACGGACCATTTACACATCCTCCTTTTAATGGACGCTCCATTCCTCTATCTGCATATTCAGTGCGACTTGTAATGCTTGTTTCCCGGCATCTCTTTTGTACGCTTCTTGAACGGTGAGTCTCACGAGGACAAACTCTTACAACTTTGACTTCAACTTCATCGTCATCTTGTGAGTCAGAAGAAACAGAAGTTCCTCTTCTGGTGTCACACTGCAGGCTCGTGACTAGGGGATGCATGTGGGTTTCCTGAGACTTTGCTGAATAATCTGACATTCCAACAGTGTTGGACGTTGATGGGATCTGCGTAGCAGCAGCTGGTTTGGAAGGAGCGGCACGTTCGATATTCCTAGCGTTTACCGATGTGTGTTTTGTTACAGAATGGACAGCAACAATTCTAGGAAGTGCTTGGTGGTCCCATGCAAGTCCATCGTAAGACTTGCAAAAGTAACCAACGTTTTGTTCGCCTTGCAGGGTCGGATCCAATACCACGTTGATGCCAGGTACCCGGCGCATTCTCTGTGCAGACGGTGGCAAATGCTTTAGTCGGTTTCCATGGCTGGTGGCTCTTTGGATTGTATCTGAAGCATGACAAATTCTTTTCAGTGTGACTGATCTGGGGTAATTCTCTTCACGGGCTGAAATAGCAATTTCATGGTGTTCTCCATTAGTTAGCGTCGAAGGAGAGCGATGGTGAAGTTCATTTCCTTGACTGTTGCTTTTATGACTGAGGGTTGAACCATTCTCGGACATCTCATAGTATTGAAGAAGTTCCCGCATACGCTGCATTTTCAGCATCCACGCTATGTTTTCTTTCGTGCGATCAATTCTTTCAAAAACCAATTGTTTCATAATTTCGCGTTTATGATTTTGGCTTTCAATTTCCTGAGCGTATATTTGCGCGGAGACGGAGTTAGCTGCTGATAGGCGAGGACGCTTAGCTTCACATTCACTGAGCTCGCTGATGGAGGATTCACCGGACGATC